CCTTAACTTCCCAGATCAAACAGCTCACAGATGATGAGCGCCCCGATGGCCCCCGGCAGCTGCATGGAGGCCGCAAAGCAGGCCACCACGATGAGCTTGGAGGCGTGGAGAATGAGCAGGCGCTTGAGGAAGCCCAGCAGCCCGTACTGTGCGGTCAGCCGCTCCCGCTCCACCCCCTCCGGCCCCAGCACCTGGCCCTCCAGCTGACGGCGCAGCGTGCCCAGCGCGAACAGCCAGCGGTAGACGGCCAGGCAGGCCAGCACGGCCAGCGGGCGCAGCAGGCGCGCCGCCAGTTCGCGCCGGCTCGGATGTGTGGCGATGCCCAGCACGTCGCGGGCGAAGGCGGCCCAGTCCTTGGGCACGTGCCACCAGGGCGCCGCCAGCACGGCGCGCACCGCCAGCTGGCACAGCGCGTCGGCCAGCGCCAGCAGCGCCAGCAGTGCCAGCGGGACCCACCGTGGGAGGGGGGACCCGTCTAGCACCAGGTCGGGGCCGGCCTTGACCCAGCGCCCCTTCCGCGGCTGCCACACCTATGGTGTTGTTATGGGTGGGAGGGGGAGTCTGTGAGGCTTTGGGTGGGGAAGGTCTGAGGGTCACCGGGTATCGGCGCCAGGGCCACGGGCATGGTTCCCCCACGACAGGAGGTTCAGCCCTCCACACCCCAGCAGCTGAGGTGCAGCGATGGCCCACAAGAAGCTGGATGGTGCTCCACCCCCGCCTCCTCACCAGGACGGAGAGGCCGATGCAGAGGTACAGGAGGCCCAGGAGTGAGAGGTCGCAGTCGACCAACAGGAGGATGTAGACCTGTGGAGAGCAGGGGGAGATGGTCGGTGGTGATGCAGGTGGGCGGGGAGTGCGAGGACAGGAACGCAGTGGGCGTCCCGCACGGAAATTCCTCTCTCAGTCACAGGAGGGCTTCAGCAGCGTTGTCTCAGAGACCAACCACTCCAGGCATGGTGCAAGCGCCATTCCTTAAACAGCCACCCCTGAAGCTGCCTCGGGACCCGGGCACCGCCCTCTCACCCCCGCGCACAGCCGCAGGCGCCGGCAGCAAACCACTCACCGCCAGGCACACGAGTGCGGGGCCGTAGGCCACTGCCGCGTGGGACAGCCAGGCCGTGCCCGGGTACTGCCAGTCGAGGAGCAGGGACCGGGGCGGTCCCCCCCCGGGGTCCCTCGACGCCTCCACCCGTCGCCCGAGCGCGTCGTGCGCTGCCGCCAGCGCCGCCAGGACGAGCAGCGGCAGCGCTTCGCGCGCGCCCAGCCCCGGTCCGACGCCCAGCCAGGACCAGCCGCGCCAGCGGAGCCAGGCGGCGCCCGGCAGCGCCGCGCGCGCCAGCCACGCGGCGTAGACCGCCGCCGTGTGCGCGGCCAGGCCGACGCGCAGGAGCGCGTGCGCGTGCGCGTGCGCGCCGCCCTCCTGCGCGAGACGGGGGCGCAGGCGCGCGGCGCGCCGGCCCAGCGTCCACAGCGCACCCAGCAGGTACAGCGCGTGGGCGAGGTCGTAGCGCGACACGCCCACGCAGAACTGCGCGGCGCCCACGGCGCCGAGGCCGAGGTACCAGGCCCCGGCCAGCGCGGCGGCGCGGGTGGCGCGCCAGGGGCGCTCGCGCGCACGCGCACGGGGGAGACGGTGGAGGCTGGGGGTGGTGCAGGCGCAGGTGCAGAGGCGCCTTCGGTCGGCGCATGCGTCGCCAGCAGCGGCGCGCTGGCATCGTCCCCGCCGGCCCCCGAGCGATCGTATCTCTGCAGCGCGGCGCGCCCCGCGACCGCAGCCGCGCCGGCGGCCAGGCAGAGCGTGGCGGCCAGGACCCCGGCAGCGTGCCCCTCCGGGGTCAAGGGGATCACGCCCAGCAGGCGCGGGATGCGACCCACGTCCAGGAGCGGGAGGAGGGAGGTGGCGACGTGGCAGACCGCCGCCCAGGCCTGCAGGCCCAGCGCCAGCGCTGCCAGTGGCCCGGGGCTGGCGTGTGGCGCGTCTGCGATCAGTCCGGGCAGGCTGGCCAGCAGGAAGGCTGTGGATGGGGATTTGTACATGAGAGAAGGGGCATCTTGATGGCATAACGTACGATCTCAGGGTTGGCGCGGGTGAAGGCACGGACCACAGTGATCTGCTCGATTGCCATCAAACCAGGTACAGGTGCAGACTCATAGGGAGGAATAGCAACGGCCTTCCAACCCCAAACGATGCCACCCATCGATCCTTCCTCACATCAGAGTATTCACTCAGATCAGTCACCCACACACCTGCGCCTGCCAGGGAGGGCTGGACCAGGGCCAGCCCCACGAGCGCCGAGGAAAGGACCGCGGGGCGGGCCACGAGCCCCACAAGCAGGTGCGCCACGGCGACGGAGGTGGTGGGCAGGACCCGGCCCAGCGCGCGCAGCACGGTACTGCCCCGGCGCTGGCCCCCGTCGCCGCCATTTCCAGACCCCCGCTGCAGCGCCACGGCACCCGCCGCCGCAAAGAGCGCGAGCAGCGCCAGGCAGCGCAGGCGCGTCGCGGCGCCCAGCTCCCCCCAGGCGCCGACGTCGACGACGCCCAAGAGCTGGGCCATGCTTCCCAGGGCGGCGATGCGGTGCAGGCCCAGCTGCCAGGCGTAGTGGAGCAGGAGGATGGCGCCGGCGTAGAGCTGCAGGGCCAGGGTCGGGCCGGGGGCGCCGCCGCCCATGCCGCTGCCCCGCCAACTCAGCCAGGCCAGGCCCAGGAGGAGAGGGAGGGTGAGGAGGCAGGGGGCGGCCGCGGCCGCGGCGGCCAGGCACAGCAGGCACAGCGTGTCGCTGGTGGTCAGGCTGGTGCCCGGCGCCCGCTGGCCCGTCCAGAGACCGGCCTGGGTCAGCGACAGCAGCTCAAATCCCTCAGACGACTGGCGGGCCTAGGAAGGGGGGGAGAGGGGGGGGAAGGGGAGGGGGGGCTCAGGAGTGAGCGGGGATGCACACAGGGAATCATGCGGGGTTGAGAAGAATGAGCGCTACCAGGGGCATCTGAGGAGCCCCGAAACAGGGACACTCTCGTGAGGTACGCTTCTGCCTTGCCCCTATCCAGGTGTGAGAATATACGTAGTCATGCACTGACAAGGTGCCTGGTCGGGTTCACCCCCCCGCACACCATCGAGGACTGCAGGGCGTTGAGCGACTTCAGCTGGAGCCAGGAGGCCGTAAGGGTCAGCACAATGGGTGCTGTGGCCTGCGGTGCGAGGAAAGAGCGGCGTACACGTGACGCCCAAGGATTGGGGTTTACTCGACAGGACATCACAAGTGACCAAACACTTGAACCATACCTACAAACAGCCCTACTAGCCTGCAGGAACACGTGTTGCATGCACCAACACATCCAACATAATGGCACCTGGAAGAGGCCCCGGGCTCCAGTCACGCGCGTGAGGCCGAGCAGGCGAAGTACTGTCTCCAGGGCGGGCACGTTGGTGGTGTATGCCAGCTGTGAAGCCAGGGTCAGGAGGGCTATGACCCATGTGAGCCCTGCAAGGGTGGGGATCCAGCGGTGCAGCAGGGATGTGCTAGGGTATGGGAATGGACACCACTGCACCTGGTGTCTTGGGAGTGTCAGGGGGCACAGATGCACACATTAGCTCCAGTACCCAATACCCAATGACGCCCCAGACGCCGGCTTGCCTGTCAGGCCGCGCCAAAGCTGTTTGCTTGTGCCGATCGCGCGAGCGCGGGAGGCCAGAGGGGCCAGCAAGACGCTCCATACCTCGGCAAATATCAGGATTGCAAGTCCTGCATGGTATGGAGAGAAGCGGTTTGGGATCTCCCCAGGACCTGTCTGCCGCTTCCTCGTATCGAACTCAGCGCACTGATCTCCACCCATATGTCCCCACCTCGAGACTCACCGATCACTCCTTGGTTTATAAAGGCCGCCAGAAGGAGCAAGCTTGTGGCTGTGGTGGGTACGAGGGCACCCAGGCTGGATGTGCGTGGGCCAGATCCCCCTGCCATGGCCCCGGTTAACCCTGGGGCTACAAGCTGGTGAGAATGTCTTCTCCGGGAAGCCAGGCTCCAGCCATTCGCTCAGCTTTCTGTCGAAATCTGATCACGCGCATCGGATATGAAAGGAGGGTCGCTTGCAAACAGCCAGGGAAGCCTAAACGCCCATGCGCATAAGACCCGCAAGCGCAAGCGCCCTCGTTAGCAGCAGTGCAGAAGCTTACCACATCGATTTGACGAAAGCAGGTCGATCCATCAATTGCATCATGTACTACATCAAGCTGCTGCAGCGTTGCAGTGATGGCTGGTGTACCGGTAGTGTTACAGAATTATTCGGCTTGCCTTGACGGGAGTGGGGCCTGGATTCGCCCTGGCGCCCTCGCGCGCCTAAGCAGTGCGTGCTTTGGGCTGCGACGAACGGCACCTCTGGAGCGAGGAAATTGGGCTTGGGAGGCAGGTGGGGTCATGCATGCACGCGCATAACAGTCATGCTTGAGGTCGACCCCAAATCAAGCGGCTTAGGGAACTGAGCTGATATAAGAAGGGTACTCTTCGCTCCGCCATGCAGCAGCCGGGGGTCGAGTTCCGAGGCTAGAACATCCTCTCTGTCCTGGACCTCGGCGCGATAAGCAAATTCAATGTTGGAAGTCGGAACCAATATCCTGGTGGACCTCGAAGACGGCCAGGTGAGGTTTGAATGGAGAACATCGTGCTTTCAGTGTGGTCTGGCTGGTGTCGGCAAGAGGCATCAAAGGGCGGACTCTCATACCCGCAAACCCGCGAACTTCATTCCAGGGTCCTATCCCAGCCAAGGTTCTGCATTGCAGCGCGACGGGCCGCAGTTGCCGTCTGGAATTAGAGAATGGGGAGGAGAGGAAGATCAACCTTCCAAAGTTCAGCTACTCTGTCATCGATGACGGGCCAGAGGGCAGAGCGAAGGGAGATGAGGCAGTCAAGCCCAGCTCCCCAGACTCATTGGATGAGGAGCAGGACGCAGCAGGCAGCGGTGATTCTGCCTCAGATGATGCCAGCGAGGATGAGGCAGGAGCGGCTGAGGCGAATGGCGGAGGGGCTGTCGATGCCGAGGAAGATGACGAGGCGGATTCCGAGTCTGCCAGAGACTCGGAGGACCTCGGGAGCGAGGGGGAGGAGTCGGAGGGCAGCGAGGACCGGGCGCTAGATATTTTTACCCCGGAGCAGGCGGCGCCCCTGCGGGCCCTGCGCGTGGCCGCCACGCCAACCGCCTTCCTGCAGGCCTCCGGCGAGCTGGCCGAGCTGGCGCGCCTGGCGGCTCGCGCGCTGTACGCGGTCGCGGTATCCACCTCGGTGCAGGCGCCCGCCGGCGCGCTGCCCGAGCTGTATGTCGATGGCTTTGACCCTGAGCAGATCTGGCTCCAGCTGGACATGCTGGGCGCCCTGGCCCTGAAGCGGGTGCGGCGGCTGCTGAAGAAGACCAGGGAGGACTTTGACCTGCTCACCCCGGACAGCGCAGAGGCCCTGGACGGTGAGTTGGGGGAGTGGTTTGGAAGGGGTTGGCCATGGACCGGGGTGTGGCATGCAGGCTGAACCCCGAACAGGTGTGGGATGTGCATGGCGGAGTTGCGGGCAATGAGTGCTGTCGCTCTTGCGTGCAAAGCCTTTCGCATCAGCCTTTCCGTTCCACCTCCACCGGCCTTGCAGAGCTGCTGGGGCTGACTGCCGGCCCATCGGATGGAGAGGATGAGGCCAGTGATGAGGATGGCAGTGAGGGCGCTGGGCCTCACCCGAGTGACCAGCTGGACCTGGCTGAGCTGGACTACGGCGCCATGCTGGCGGGTGACCAGCCTGGCCAGACAAGGAAAGCCGGCGAGGGGGAGGACGCCCGGCCCAAGGGAGGGAAGTCGACGAGCCATGCGCTGGCTGCCGTGGAGGACGAGCACCTGAAACTCGACGAGATGGAGGCCTTCCTCCAGGATGCGGAGCGCGCAGCAGCCGAGGAAGATGGTGAGCGTGGAGGCATGCGTGTGTGTGCGTGTGTGTGTTGATGAGAGTGGGGAAGCGACAACAATGCCTGGACAGGATTATCCGAGGGAGGTTGCAGCGGTATGGGACACTCACCCAGCATTAGGCTCAGAGAACTTCAGTGCAGCAGAGTGGTGTGTCCTGAAGGATGCATCTGCAGCCTCATATGCCTCCTGCCTTGAACACATCAGCGATGTGACCACGCACGCCATGCTCTCTGCAGGGGCCGAGGGCTCAGAGGAGGAGGAGGCGGGACTCGAGGCTGCGCTGGACGAGGCGGAGGCGAGGAAGCACAAGAAGAAGCAGCGCAGGGCCAAGTGTGCGTGCCAGGGGCTGTCTTGTGCCCTGGATGTGTTTGTGTGGGTCATCAGGGAAGCCGACATGGTCCGGAGGCGCACCCATCACCATCCTGAACAGTAGCGATTGTCGTTGCTTTACGTGCCATGCAAGCCAACTTCCTAGAACCTCCACCGTCACCGCAGTCCCTGGCCTGGTCTTTGGCGACGATGACATCGATGCTGACGAGGACGGCGCGGCGCTGGAGGAGGGCGCCGAGGCCATGTATGAGGACTTCTTTGGCCCTCGCAAGGCCGGAGGGCCCCAGCCCGGTCGCACCGCAGAGCGGCAGAGCAAGTCGGCAGCCGCGCTGCAGGCCGCCCTGGAGGAGAAGGAGCTGGCGGGAGGTGAGGCTTGATTGGGGGGGGGGGCACCACGGTTTAATTTTCTTGCAGGCCGCTCTCCCGCACGGCACAGGGGCACTCTGTGCACCTCGCGAGTCTCTCAAAGCCTGGCGGGGCATGCATTGGTTGTAGCAGCCATATCGCTGGAAGTTCAAGGCTCAAGCCCTGCCCACGTCCAGTCGTACCCGGGCAACCACGCTGCCCCACACCACCACGAACACCTGAATGCAATGGTGCAGATGCCTCAGACGCGTCCCATGACTCCGAGGAGGACGATGGCCTGGACGAGATGCTGGCTTCTGAGGAAGAGGAGGAAGAGGAGGAGGAGAGCGACGCAGGTGGAGAGGGCTCCCAGCCGGGCGACGAGGAGGAGGAGGAGGGGTCCGAGGAGGAGAAAGAAAGCGGGCCCGAGGGCGCCGGCCCCCTGAGCAGCGACGAGGAGGACGTCGGCTTCGTGCACCGCCCAGACCGCGCCGTCGCTGCCGCAAAGACCCTGGAGCCCGGAGATGCGGCCGGCGCGCAGCAGCGGCTGTCCACCCACGAGCGCCAGATGGCCAAGGTACTGGGTTTTGTCTTGGGGGTACCTGCTCTGGCAGGGCGCAGGTCTTCAAGGACGGCAGGGAGAGGGAAGGGGCCACCTTGGGAGTCACAAGTGTGCATGAATTGCATGGGCTGCCTGGCAATCGTGTGCCGGCACGCGTCGCCCTCTCGACGGCCACAGGCCGCTGACACTGCCCTGCGCACCACCCCGCACCTACACCTCACTCCCCGCTCATCCCTTCACACCACCCCCCCCCAAACCCCCCAGATGGCAACCCGGATCAGGTCGTTGGAGGCCGAGGCCATGGCGGCCAAGGACTGGTTCCTGCGCGGGGAGGTGGGGGCCATGCATCGCCCGCTCAACTCCGCGCTGGAGGTGGACATGGACTACGACACCACCGTGGCCCCCGCCCCTGCGCCCACCGAGGAAAGCACGGCCAGCCTGGAGGACCGCATCAGGGCACGAATCCGGGAGGGGCGCTTCGACAGCGCGGTGCGCACCGCGCCGCCGCCCGAGGAGGGGAAGAACAGGGAGGACAGGGGTCCGGAGCTGGACGACAAGCGCTCCGCCAAGGGCCTGGCGGAGCTGTACGAGGAGGACTACGTCAAGACCGTCACAGGGGTGACCGAGGACAAGGTGGGGTTGAAGGGGATCGGTGTGGCTGGTGTGGGGAGGTGCGGCGAGGAGGTGATGTGGCGAGAGGAGGGGGCCCCGCAGGGCAAGAGTAGTGCAGCAGACCTGCTGAACGCTGACAAGGGTGGTCGCGAATCAGGAGAGCGAAAGGTGCGAAGGACTCAGCCGCTGAAAGGTCCTGCTGCCGATGAATCTCGGCATGCAACTCCGCCCCGCATGTGCCTCACAGGACGAGCCGATCCGTGCCAACGCCCGAGCGCTATTCGCATCGCTGTGTGCCAAGCTGGACACGCTGTCGCACCTGCACTTCAGGTTGGTCCAGGTGGTGGTGAAAGGGTTACATTCAAGGTGTCCAGCAGCATGTGTTGCCTGCCCTGCATCAGGGGCCTGCCCTGGCTATGCCCTGCATGCATGGCATGGCCCGTGCTCGCTCCAGACGCTCCACCCCTCCTCACACAGGCCGGCCCCCGTGGTGGAGGAGGCCGGGCCCCGGCCGGATGCTCCCGCCATCCTCATGGAGGAGGTTGCGCCACAGGTGCGTCCGGCAGGGGGGGAGTTTGAGGCCATGTGCCAGCTCAATAAAGCTGGACTCGAGTATTCTGAGGGTACATCTCTGTTATTGGCGGCTCCCAGGTCGGCAACCTCTGGCTGCTCATTCCCACCTTCTTCGTGGCAACCCCCCTCCTATCCCCACACACAGTTTGTGTCTGTGGCGAGCCAACGGGCCCCCGAGGAGGTCCATGCGCCTCTGGAAAAGGGCGGGGTTGCCCCCGCCGAGACGGAGCTGGAGCGGGAGGACCGAAAGCGGCGGCGCGCCCAGAAGAAGCGTGGCGCCAAGAAGCACAGGGCCGCCAAGGACGCGGAGCGCGCGGCCAGGGAGCAGAGTCTGGGCGGGCTGGGCCCCATCGCCGGCCGAAAGTCCGAGCAGGCTGCCGCCGCTGCCGCCGCTGCCGCCGCGAAAAAGGTGAGGGGAGCCCAATGTGGGCAGGAGGTGTTCTGGCCTTGGCTTGGTTTCACCATGGGGAGCGATTCCAGGCATAGTTGGTGGCAGGGGGTTTGTTCCACATTCAACACCCCCCGCCTCATGTCCATCGTCGAGCGCTGACCACTTGCTTAGGGTAAGATGACCTGCGCCTTGTGTCTCCTCCCACATTGACTGCCGGCCCTCTCCTCCCCCCACACCCAAAACCCCTGCAGAACAAGCGTGGCGCGCCCCCAGCAGACAAGCCTTTGGCCCGTGGCCACTTCACAAAGTCCAAGGCCGTGTTTGCTGGCATCCAGAGTGCTCAGGACAGCGGGAAACGAGCACCAGCGGTGGACTCAGGGTCCGGCCCCTCCGCCAAGAAATTGCGGCTGTGAGCGTGCTGTGCTTGCGGTGCTGTTCACCCCTGGCCAAGGAAACGTTTCACTCCATGCTATTCCTGCGATGCTGTACGCGCTTGCCAAGGAAACGCTGCACCTCGTGCCGTGCCTGCGGTGCTGTTCATCCCAGGCAAGATACTCTTCCCACCTCGTCGGGCCCCTCCCTGTCGCTTGTTGTATGGGCTCACGGTTGTCGCAACGCGTTACAGGATGGAACACGCCGCCTGCCCACCATGGGGCCGGGGGGCCGGCATGCCGCTCAGTAGAAGAATCCGAGCAGCTTGCCGCCCACCTTCTTTCGCCTGGCCTCCTCGTGGTCGAAGATGCCCTGGGAGGTGGTCACCACAAAGAACCCGAACTGGCGGGAGGGGAGCAGGCGCCCCACCCAGTGCTCGATGTCGCCGGCGGCAAAGTCATACCGGGGGGAGATCACGCCGCACTTGTTCAGGCGCCCGTTCAGCTCCACCACGATCTTGCCGGAGCGGTGGTTGTCCACAAACTCGAACTCGCCAATGTAGCCTGTCAGAGGAGTGGCAGGGGATGATTGGTAATGTGCCCTGGAGGAAAGTGGCCAGGTGTGGCCTGCTGGGCTGGGCTGGGCTTGTCAGGATGGAGTGCATTAAGCCTGCGCCAGCCCTCCGCAGCGATTGCGGAATCTCACACTCTACCCATCATCAATGCGTCCAGGACAGGCGTCGCGAGCGGACCCGGCTCGAGTACTCACCGTGCTTCTGCATGACCTGCAGAAACTTGATGACCACCTTGGAGGAAGGGCGGATCAGCACCTGCTTCTTCCCCTTCTTCTCAGCATTGTACATGGATTTCTGTGGGTTGCGATGTAGTTGGGCGGCGTGACGCGCGTGATGGATCTAGGGACGGATACACCCCACCCCGCCCTCCTCACAGCCCGGGAGTGTCCCCCTCGTCACACTCACGAGAGCATCGCCGAGAACGCTGATGCGCACCTACAACAGCGTGAGAGTGTACAGGAAGTGAGAGGGGATTATCACGCACCGCACTGACAGGCCTGGACTCGCACCGCCGTGGGTCGTGCCGGCCTCTCACGGGGGTCCCCCCACCAGCTGCGACCTCCAGCTCACCATCCTGACCAGCTACTTGGGCCGACCAGGCTGCTACTCGGCTATTCTATCGCCGGAAAGAGGCAGAAGCCGCCGCTCACTGGGGCATTCGCAGTAAAGTGGAGGGATCCCGGGTCTACCGCGGTCCGCCCTCCCGCTCGTCATGGCGCCCAATTGGGCGAGGCTAGCAGGACGGAAGGCCGCGACTTATACGTGCATTCAAGTCTCGATCTAACAGCAGCGCATTATCTTGTAGTAAGCATGGTATCAAATCAAGACTCACGAGCTATACCTGCGTCGTCCGGGAGACCTGTTGATCCGGCAAACCTGTCCACTATCAAATAGAGTGTCTGGATTCATTGACTTACAGGACATTCCATTCGGACGATGCACACCCAGGAACGCGTCAGACTCCCTCCGGAGACTTCAGCTGCATCGGGAACATTGCACCGACTGCCCGTTTCCGGGCCCTCGCCACCCCCTGCAGCAGATTGGGTGCACCTAGGTATTCTGCTGCCGCGACAGCAGCCTTATCATCGAGGGGATGTGTCAACCTGCAGTGATGGGCAGGGATGGGTAATGAGCATTAGTAGCAAGAGGTTTCGGCAGTGCGACTATGCCAGTGTCCTTTCTGAGCACATAAGTAACCTCCCCTAGCATGTCCATCACCTCTTGGCTGGCTGTAGGATGCTCGTGAGCTCCTTGCTTGCAGTGAAGATCAGCATGTTCTTTTCTTGACCGCTTCCTGGTTCACTGGGGTCGGGGTTGTCCACACGCTGTCTCTCCAGCGCCTCCCTCCGCTGCGTCTCTTCCAGCCTCTGGAAGAGGTCCAGGTACCTGGCGAGGGAGGCAGGCCATGGAGCTGGGACTGACAGGTCGATGCTGGTGCAGAGTTAAAATCAAGCGCACTTTGGCTTGAAGAAAGCGAGAAGCCTGTGTCGGACGATCATGAGCATGCTTCTATGAACGTGGGCTCACACCGGGCTGCAAACATGGACCCCGCACCTGCGCATCGGCCCAGCCCCAAACCTGTCCTTTTGGATTTTGAATGGATCGCTCCTGGCACCTCCACACCTCCCACTCACATGTGCTTTGGCTGGAGGAGGTCGGACACCCATGTCCCTGGCTTGACCTCCAGGCCCCCCTCGCCCGCCTGCATGTCCAGCAGCTGAGCCCTCAGCCGGGCAATCTGCTGCGCATCCAGGTCCAGGAACCTCCTCTGCAGCGCTTGTCCGCCCTGTGGAGGGTGGGTGGATGCAAGAGGCAACTCGGTTCGATGAAGGCCAGTTCATGAATCGGCATCCATTTGGGTTAGAGGAGCTTGGGACTGTCTGTCGGTCCACACCGGTGCATCAGCCAAAACCAAGACATACGGAATCGATAGGCTCACCTTGAGGGCCCGATAGTGAGAGTAGAATCGATATGCGGTGTAGTAGATGGTTATGGCGGGCAGCGGTGTCAGCTGCGGCGACGAGAGGGAGTGGGCAGGGTGCTTGTGTGGACATGCCTAGCCTCCTCTCGAGTTCAGGGACCACATTGGCACTCGTTTGATGCCATCGCAGGGCACACTGCCCATCGCGGCGAGGATGCCATCGCAGGGCCTCTGCATACCAGGATGGGGGCTTGCGGGAGCAGCGCCAGCAGCCAGAGGCCCATGCGGCTGCGATGCCGGCGCTGGCTAGAAGCTGCCAGCATCCTGAGGCGGCGGCGGACGTACCGCTCCTCAAACACGTCCTGCGAGGAGGTGTCATGAGATCAGGCAGTACATCACACAGCTGCCTGGTAGGGTTGATGAGCGATGCAGGGCATGCATGGTATGACAAGCAGCGCCTCGGCTGGCTGAGCATTGGCTGACCGCCTCCCGGGCAAGCATGTGTGGCATGGCAATCTGCACAATCCAACATGGCACCCGGAAGATTCCGTCAGCAGGTCCCTGCTGGCCTTGCGAGACAGATGGGGGTCTCACCGGAGCTATGACCTCTAGTGGGGCTGGAGGATCAGGGACTGACTTCAGGAAAGTCTCCATGGGGTCCTCACGCGACAGCACAGCCTGCGCCAGCCTACAGACAAGATGGGGCTGAAAGCTGAAGATCTTGCATTGATGCACACCAGTTCCCATGGTGCTTCGCTGTGGACCAGTCCTACGCGCACTCACTTGTAGCCACGGTTGCGAAGGGTCCCTGCCTTGGCCTGCTCCAGCTTTGTCCACTCTCCCATGAGCTTCTCCTGGAACTGCGACATGGAAACAGCCTTCTGAGTCAGTCCAGTGAATTTTGGTAGGAGTTTTTCACACCCACTTACACCCAACAGCATCCAGGGATCGAGCTTTCGAAACATTGGCTGGGCTGCTCGAGACGTTGCACATCCTGCAACTCGCCTTGACCTTCAGTGTCTCACTGAGGAGTTGGATCCTCTCCTCCAGATTCCGACCGGTTCTCCAGTGAGGAGCCTTCACCAGGACTTGTGCTGATTCCCCACTCCATGCATGCCAGAGCCACTGGGATCGGAATATGGGGAGCACCGCTGCCTTCATCGGGAAGGGACTGGGTAGCTGAAGTGGGTGCGTGGGATACCCCACGTCAGGCCCGCCTCTTCCTCCAAGGAAGATATGCTACGATTTGCAAAACTTAACGTGGAGCACCGGATTCAAGTTGTGACAGGATTCGAGCGTGGACGGTGTGATAGATGCGGAACCATATTCTGCGCGCCCAGCCAGCATATCGCAGATTACTAAAACATCACTAGGGCTTACGTCATGAACTCGCTCCAGATGAAGATTTCGAATATGGGCCTGAATCCATATTTTACGGAATTACAAATAAATTTCACCTTTTCACATCGCATCCTTGAACCCAACCAAGTACTGTGCTGCTATTCCGTGGCCCAAAGGAGTGGGGAGAATCAGCCAACAAATCAAGAAGTATCTTCACATCAAATCACCCCAGGGCCCCCGTCTGGCATCACAGGGTTGTGCAGCAAAGACGCAGAATCCACACACAGGCATTAAGAACGTCCTGGTGTCTTGATGGGCGAAGGGGATGGGGTGCAGTAGTCCTGACCCGGCAGCCTCACCTCCGAATCCCACCCGCCCTCCTGCCGGAGCTCGCGCACGGCATCCAGAATTTGCTGGAGAGACTGGCTCTCCAGGGCCACATCCTGCAGTGCAGGGCAAGAAAGGGTGGAGGGCATGAAGAAGTACGACATGCTTGCGTGAAGCTGCACAGCATGGGTGCGACTCGCACCAGGGTCCTGTGGCCATCATTTGTATGGGAGGCGGTGTGCTTTTTGTGACAGGTCTAAACTCCAAACTTCAGACGGCCCTCACCTTGCTGGATGCGTACACGCCGTCACCATGCTCACCCGCTCGCCCCATGTCCTGCAATAGGCAAGAATGTGCACCTGAGCGCTGTGTGCCAAACGCGGTGTGCCCCTTGCTCATGCTGGTCATGGCAGCCAGGCTGCTGCTGCTGCCAGGGTGCAGTTCCAGCTGCCCAGAACCCAACCAACCTTGGATCCAATAGCTTCAAAAACAAACATCATACTTCCCAGCCCCACCATACCTCTTGGGCATGCAGCCGCATGCCCCGCTCGTGCACCCACGCCTCCAGCAGGGCCAGCCGCCGGCCCTGGGCAGCGGTACGGGAGCGTACCGCGCTGTGCAGCGCTCCCTCGGCGCTCCGCCAGGCAGCGCGGGCATCCTGTCGCGGGGGGTGCCCGATGAGAAGATGTTCGTCGAACTCCAGTCCTCCGCAAGAACATCGTTGCAAAGTGCAGCACCAACGCCACCACCTCCTCCGCCCCAAGGACCAAGAATGAGACCCCAGAATGCGGCGACGTGCTGACCTTGGCGGCGATCTGGGCCTCTTTCAGCGCCGACTCGAGCCACTCCACCTGAGATCCCTGCTCGGCGGCCTTGGCTATTGCTGCCCCACACTCTGCCCTCAGCACCTCCAGCTGGGAGGCGAGGGAAGCAATCTCTGCAGTTGCTGCTTGCCTGACGGAATGTGAGAAGCTGGAAGACTGCTGAGTTCAGCTGGCTGCAGGGCTGTGCACATACTGTTGGTCATCATGGATGGACTTTGTCATGAGTTGGAGGCGCTTCATCAGCACCGTACTGAATACGCAACATGCAACCAGCATGATCTAGCATGCTCCTCGGCCCTTGCCCCGCCTTGCTCACCTCTGCTTGGCAGCCGCCTGAGCGCTGACTCGCTGCTGTTCCTCCATCCTCCGCGACAGCTCGCTCTGGGCCTGCAAGTATGTCGGGGAGAGAGCGCTGAGCAGCTTGGAAAGGTTGTGTCTTGGCTGCTCGAGACAGAGCTACAGCCAGGTATAGAGTGAGGAGTGGGCAGGCTCACCAAAAGACCAAAGTCACTGACCTTCTCGGCAGCGGCGGCGGCAGCCTTGGCAGTCTCCAGCTCGCCACGCAGCGTGTCCGTCTCCTCGAGGAAGGAGGCCAGGTCCTTCACGGCCGCATCCAGTCCTGGGCAGGGGAATGGTGGGTGGGGTTGCACAACCTGCATGATGGTAGCCTCCTCATGCTGTGGAGGAGCTCCCCCGTTCTGGGCTAGGCACAGGGCCCCCTGGCCACTGCATTGGTAGGGTGTTTCCGAGGCCACAGCCCCAGCATGGGAGTCCTGATCCTATGACGATTCCTTTGTTCAACTCGTCCTCTCTCACCCAGCTCAGCCTGGCGCCTCCGACCCTCCGACACACTCAGCTGCGCCTGCCACTCCCTCTCCCGCTCAGCCGCCTCGCCGGCGGCTGAAGCGGCCTGGTGCGCAACGCCGGAGGCACGTGCCTCGGCAGACCGAGCGGCCTGCTCCGCTGCACGATGGGCACTCTGACTGCCTGCCAGCTGCTCCTCCAGATCTGTGCGACGCACAGGGGCTAGGGTCTCACGGAATGGGGGGATGGCAAATGCTCGACAGGAGAGCATGATGCCACAAGCCAATAACCTGCCATGATAACAGCAAGCTGAGGAATTTGCGCACCCGTGTTCCTGGCATGCAGGGCTTCCAGCTGCTGCAGCGCCTTTTCAAGCTCTCGCTGCTTGGCCTGCAGGTCGCTGCCACGTGCCAGGTTGACGGCTGTAGGGGTGGGGTTGGGCGACTGGATGGAAGGACCAAGAGCACTGCTCAGACGGTGTGCCACACACAGACACTCCTGAGTCAAACGGGTGCAGCTCTGCGAGACGTTGACAGTCCCAGCATGCCGACTACGAAGCACCTTCACTGATCTATTTTCATGTCCCTTCTCCTATGCATGCAAGGAAGTACTTCTGCAAGTCACCCTACCGTCTGCCACTGCCAGCTGCTCCTTGTGCGTTTTGAGGGAACTCTGACACTCCTCCAGCTCCTTGCTCGCGTACAGCTGTGCCTGCTGACTTGCATCCAAACTGTGTGCCAGACTATCCCTGCATATGGACATGGAAGTGGAGGCTTACTGCACACACATTGCCGTCAGCATGAAGACTCAGAGTTGTCTTTGTGGACAGCCGCATGCAGAAGGGTTGCATTGTGGAAAAGGATCTTGCACAGGTAAAACCGTCTGGGCCCGGCGACAATAACACCAGCCACCCACCTCTCAAGCACAATGCTTGCAAGAGCATGCTCTGCTGCCAGGGCTTGTGATTTAGCCTCTGCAGTCTGCAGCAAGGCCGTTTTCAGCTCGTCCCGAGCAACCGCCCGGTCCTGCTCAGCAGCATTCCTGGCTTCCAGTGCTGCGAGCAGAGCAGCACGGTCGCTCTCTGCCCAGCTCGTTACCTGTTTGGTAATCGCATAGGGCAGCATGTGGAACGATAGCGTCTGGGCTCCGGGCCCCGACCGCGCGAGCCGGAGTACAAACCCATACCCACCTTTGCTTTCAACTCGGATTCCAAGGTCTCCCATGGCTTCACGTTCAGCGGAAATGATTTGGGCATGCCGGGATTTGCACCTCTTCGGGTGATTCAGTCTAGGATGCGGAACTCCGTCGGAATTGGGTGCTCGATATATTGCTTGCCCGGTCGACGACGTTGCTCTGGGCGCCGGATGAGCAATGGGAGCCATGCAACCTGTGCAATATATCCAGGGCCTGTTGGGCAGTGGTAAGCCATGTCGTAGAGAAGAGAAAATCTCGGTATGATATTGGAAGACCCCCAGGGCGCGCGCGCGCGGTCAGGAAGGGGTGCAGAAACCTTGACCTGCATGATCATAATGTCTGGAGTATAACGTAAAGCAGCAGGTTGCACAATCATTATCGATGTAATTACATTCATTCGTGTCAGTGCGAATTTGCGATGGACCCCAGATGCAAGAGTGATAACGACAGAGGGTTCGTATTGAACAAGGAGCATCAGCGAGTCTACATACAGAGAAACTTGACCAATCTTTTGTCAACAACAACCAACGCCTTCCGCTTCATATATCCATTTGACTGTTAACGGGTGTTTCGATTCACTCAGGCTCCGTTGCTCTGACCATGTGGGACATGAGCCCTTCCCGCCTTTTCTACAGAGCCGGCTTTGGGGGTTGCATGTGTTGACATATACATGCCGCCTGAGCCAGATGGTTGAGCCTTTACCCCTCCGCATTGGGGTTGATTGTTTACGTTTTCATAAGTTAGTATTCTGCTCACTTTCCAGAGACACTTCATCGATATAGTCTGTGCGTGACATGCAAGGTTGAGCCCGAGCACACTCATCGGTCTGAGGCAGGCATGGGTGTCGACTACCTCGCGCGGAAATCCGCGAAGAAGGATCGCAAGAGGGCAGGGAAGGAGGGCAAGGTGCCCCGCTCCCGCTCGAGGACGGGCCCCAGGCGATTATGTCGAGGTAAGTGACGGCGTGCCCCGTCATCGAGCCCTCCCATGGTCGCCGATGCTCCCAGGAAGCGGGAGTTCCGCATGCAAATTGACACCCCTCATCCATTACCCCCCTTCTGCAGGAGTCTGCTTCCAGGAGCCGGTCCTCCAGGCCGCCGACCTGGAAGAAGAGGAAACCGGGCCACTGGCTCCCTCCGCCTCCGCCCCCCCTCCCAAGCATGAGTCCCTGGAGAGCCGGATAGCCACCCAGCTGACGTCCGAGCCGGTTCCTGCCGCGCCCCGGGTCGAGACACCGCGCCAGGCGGCCCCCAAGCGCCGGAAGATGTCCACCAGCGTGGCCCTGCCCGTGCGTGTGGAGCACAGCGAGGCGGAGCGGCCGCTGCCGCAAGCCGCCCAGGGCGCCCCCACGCCGCCCAGCGCGGCGCTGGCGCAGCTGCCCCCCCTCTTCCAGCGCTACATGGCCTCGAAAGGGTTCGCGGAGCCCACCCCGGTGCAGGACCAGACATGGGCGCCGCTGCTGGCAGGCCGCGATGTGCAGGCCGTGGCCGAGCCCGGCGCTGGGAAGACGCTGACGTTTCTGCTGCCTGCCGCGGCGCTGCTGGAGAAGGGGGCTGCCAAGGTCCCTGCTGCGACGGCGACGGTGCTGGTCCTGGAGCCGACGCGTGAGCTGGCCCAGCAGGTGGGCCTGGTCTGGAAGGACCTGGCGCATCTGACAGGGGCTCAAGCCGCCGTCATCCACGGCGGCGTACCTAAGCAAGAGCATGTGCGTGGGGAGGGCCTTGGAGGGGTGGTCTTTGTGCTGGGTGCACTTTCGGAGACGGAGGAAGATGAGGTCAGGTGTGGGTTGGTGCGGGGGGGGTTGGGGGGGCAGTGGTGGAGGCCCTTTGCCTCCGCCGGCCCAGAGTCCCCTCCCATCACCGCACTCCCCACGCCGGCCAGCACCCCACCCCTTCTCAAAGAACTCCTGGTGATGCACACTCCCGTGGCAAGGGATGAGTCTGATGTTTATCCGCGCTTCTCAGGGACAGCCACCCCACCGGGGGGTTGCCCATGCCGATACTCCTCGCTTGGTTGAAATGTCTGATGCCACGATCGTCCCCTGTACTTGTTGGGACGTCGGACATTGACGAGGTAATGTGCTAACTATCAGCCTGCCCACACACCTTCCCTGCTCCTGGATTCTGCGCAGGTAGCCGCCATCAAGTCCAAGCCCCAGGTGGTCATCGCCACGCCAGGACGCTTGTTGGACCTCGTGGACAGCGGGGCACTGAGCCTGAGTGAGAACAGGAGGGCCGAGCGGGGTTTTGGGGGGGGATCATCTGCGTTGACTTAGATGACAGAGCCTCCTGCCATGACTTTTCCATGTACTTTGAGATTCCAGCAGTCCCTCATTGCCCGGACTCTTTGCCTCCCACAAATACTTTTAAGCCTGCTCAGGCATCCTCAACCTGGTCGTCATGCTTTGGACCGGTGATGATTTCATCACACGTTTGCTTTCACAGTTTCTGAGCATTGCCATGCTGAGATCAGCTGTGTCTGAGGTCCTCGCCTTTCACTTGCTCCTCCATGACAAAGCTCGCCTCACACACTTTCTCCTTTGGGTCCCTATCCCCACCTTTGCGCCCCTGCATCGCCGGCCGGTGAAGAGAACCCTGTTTACTCAAGTTACGGATGTTTAGGGGGAGGCTCCACGGAGCCCTCCCCACTGCAAGCAAACACTTTTCCCGAAGCTGAGGCCACCGATGTCCTTTGAGGAGCAGCCGTCGCGCTGTGCTGTGTTTGCCTGCAAGTTTGGATCTTTCAAACCCATGCAGTTCCTCCCTCCCACCCCATTCATCCTGCTGAGCATTTCCTTAGATGGTTTGCTTTCAAATCCTTTCAGGCCAAGGTGTTCCTCACCTGTTTTCTCACACCTCACCCCCGACGGTCCCCACCATACCCCAGCACCAAATCCCCCGATCCCACCTCCCCCCCCTCCTCCGCGCAGGCAGCGTGCGGTACCTGGTGCTGGACGAGGCCGACCGCATGCTGGGCATGGGCTTTGCGCCGCAGCTGGACCGCCTGCGCGGCTGCCTGCCCGCCGCCGCCCCGCCCCAGGTTTCGCTCTTCACGGCCACGCTGCCAGAGGGCGTGGCCGGCGTGGCCGCCTCTTGGCTGCGCGACCCGCTGTGTGTCTCCGCCGGCCCCTCCGCCGCCTCCATCTCGCACAGCGTGACCCAGGTGGTGCAGGTGTGCGCGGAGGCGCGCAAGCCCGCCAAGCTGGCGCGCCACCTGGCGGCCATCGATGCCGCCGCGGGGCCCGGGCCGCGCAACCGCCCGCGCGTCCTGATCTTCGCCAATCGCCTGCGCACCGTGCGCTTCCTGCACGACCTGCTGGCGGGGCAGGGGCGGCGCGTCGCCATGCTGCACGGCGACCGCAGCCAGGCGGAGCGCGACGCGGCGCTGGCCGACTTCCGCGCGGGCAAGGCCCAGATCCTGGTGGCCTCAGATGTCGCGGCGCGGGGGCTGCACATCCGCAACCTGCCCTACGTCGTCAACTACGACTTCCCGGGGAACCTGGAGCAGTACATCCACAGGTGGCAAGACGGGGGGAAGGATGGTGTTTTGATTGGTTGGAGGGGTGAGGGGTCGTGCTTTTTTTCCTGGGATGGGAGAGGGACAGGGAGCTGGCAATTATGGCGTCACGATGTGATGCTCGACGGGGGAAAGCAGGAAGCACTCTCTCTTTGTCAACATCTATGGGGGTGGATCGTGGCACCAAGAACAATATAATCCAGAGCGCTGGCCTCCCCCACCCCCTAACTCTCCTGTTTGAGCCGCCACACAACCACCAGGCTGCCCGTTACATATACCCTGGGCTTTTCCTGGCAAGGTGTTTGCGGATAGTGCACCCTCAGGACCGGCTGTCCCGGCTCAGTGCGTCACAGGAACCCGCAAGGGCGACTGGTGGGACGCCGGGGCCTGCCGGGGGACGCCAACCGCCCCCACCAGGCCCCAGGGGCAGCCGGTCCACATACTATCTCTCTTCCCACCCTTTTGTATGGTCTTCCAGGCAATCTTAGCTGCGCGCGCACAGATTTCTCGAGCCCTCGCACTTCCTGCGCCAAGACTCCAACTGTGCCCCTCTCCTTGCTCCTCCAGGGTGGGAAGAACAGGGCGGCTGGCGACCGACGGCCACGCCTTCTCCTTCTTCACGCGGGAGCTGGCGCCGCTGGCGGCCCCGCTCATCGAGCTGCTGGAGGCGCACGACGCCGACCTGGACCCCAACCTGCTGCTGGTGGCCAAGGCGTACGCGGTGGTCAAGGAGAAGCTGGGCGAGGCAGAGCGGCCGCGCAGCGAGGACGTGCTGGGGGAGCTGGGGCTGAAGGCCCGCAAGAAGAAAGGGCGGCGCGAGGCTGACGAGGTTGCGGGCGGCCAGGCTGGGCAGGAGGCGCATGGCGGCGAGGCCGTTGCCGGGCAGGGGCCAGTCGAGCCCGCCGCCCCTGCTCCTGCTTACATCCCGGCCAAGGCCTTCAAGGGCGCCAGGCAGGGGTATGTGTTTGGCAACCGGGCTTCGGGACTGGGATACCACCTGGACACAGCGGCGGCCCCGGTGCAAGGCAAGAGGTCTTCTGGCCCGCCCGCCACCTCCCGACGGCCGGTGGGAGGCGCGGCGCCGGGCGACGCCGAGGTCCGAGTCGAGGCTGCCGTCGTGAAGCGGAAGAAAGCGCTGCCGGGGCGTCTGCGCAAGAAGCTGGCGGCCTCTGCTGCGCCGGCATTATAAAAATCTAGGCCATTCTCAATCAGAGCTGCTTCTGAGCGCAGTGAGCACCAGCCTGTACTACATCTTGTCCTGAGGTGAGAGCACTACTTACCCATGCGTACACACCTTTTGACCTGGCACTCACCCCACTGACTGGGGCTGTGCCCCAATGACTGTGAATTGGACATATCAGTTAAACAAATGGTACATAAGATCAAGACTGCAAACGGCATGCGCGGCCCACACGGTACATAGTCATGAGCAAGACCCCCAAAATGTATATTCCCGCCACCCAATGGAAAGCCCCGCGGGGGGTCGGTGAAGGGGGCGTCGGAGTGCTGCTAACAATACAAGCGGCATGCTGTGCTGCACGAAGTAGCATAAGACTCACTCCTCGTGAATCCAAGGTCAAATAGCCTACTGCTCCTCAGTATATTATCTGTCGGCTTGGCGGTGCAGCTGTCGTTGAGGCATCCCTCCAACATGACTGTGTTCCAGACCAAGAACGGCGACAGCGCGGTGGGTGGCACCAGAAAGCACTCTGATATTGCATGCCATGAGTAACCTGAGCCTACTCTCCCTCCTCATCCCCCTTCTCCTCTGGACCAGCACCCGATCTCCTCAAGATCTCACACCCCCCGCAGCCCAAGTTTCTGATCTACGGGAAGAATGGATGGATCGGGGGGCTTGTTGGCGAGCTCCTCAAGAAGCAGGGCGCTGACTTTGAGTACGGCACTGCTCGCCTGGAGAATCGCGAGGCTGTCATCGCCGACCTCGAGAGGGTGCGGTGGCGCGGGGTTGGATGGTCCTTCCTCGCTCGCGCGAGCCCCCATCTGATGCTTATTCATACTTCAGGAGAATGAAATCGGCAATGGCACTCGTGGTGCCCTGCATATCCGGAACATGCTGGACGCGGCCGTTGTTATGGGTTCCCCAACCCCCCCGCCACTGCAGGTGAAGCCCACCCATGTCCTGAATGCTGCGGGTGTCACGGGCCGCCCCAATGTGGACTGGTGCGAAGACCACAAGGTGGAGACCATCCGCGCCAACATCATCGGCTGCCTCAACCTGGCAGACGTGACCCGGGAGCGCGGCATCCACATGACCTACTACGGCACCGGCTGCATCTTCCACTATGACGAAAAGTTCCCCCAAGGATCCGGCAAGGGGTTCAAGGAGTCTGACACCCCCAACTTCACTGGCTCCTACTACTCCTACTGCAAGGCAATCGTCGAGGGCCTGCTGAAGCAGTACGAGAATGTCCTGGTGCTGCGTGTGCGCATGCCCATCGTGGAGTCGCTGGTCTACCCGCGCAACTTCATCACCAAGATCATCAAATACGACAAGGTAGGCGGCAGCGTTCGTGATAGGGTGGTGGCTGAGGGCATGGCTTTGGAGCCATGCCTCTAGGGGTTAGCGTGGCAAGGCATGTTGGACCCATGGCTGGCTTAGCATGTAAACTGTGACCACTCCTTGCAACTTCTGAGCTGTCTATCATGGTGATGTTACCTTGCACTGTGGCATCCGCCCCCCCCCCCCCCCCCCCCTCCCAAAGAATACACACCAGCATTGCTGTCCACCTCTTGCAACACCTACGCCATTTGCATCCACCTCCTTGCGCCCTGCCCACTTTCCTCTTCCCCAAATGAGCAACCCCTGCCCCTGTCCACAGATCATCGACATCCCCAACTCCATGACCGTGCTGCCGGAGCTGCTGCCTTACTCGCTGGAGATGGCTAGGCGTGGGCTGACTGGCGTGATGAACTACACCAACCCGGGCGCGATCAGCCACAATGAGATCCTGGAGCTGTACAAGCAGTACATCGACCCCGACTTCACCTGGTCCAACTTCACCGTGGAGGAGCAGGCCAAGGTCATTGTGGCCCCCCGCTCTAACAACCTCTTGGACACCGCCCGCATCGAGAGCGAGTTCCCTGAGATCCTGCCCATCAAGGAGTCGCTCATCAAGTGCGTGCTGGGGGGCGCAGAAACCACAGCACTCGACAGTTTATTGGTTCAGCTTTTCGGGAGGAAGAAGGAAAGCTTGTGTAGAGCGATTGTTTGTATGACAAAGGAATATCCCACATTGTTTGTCATTCGACTAAAGCTGACCTGTCCCTTCATCCACCCTCCCGGCCTGCAGGTATGTGTTTGAGCCCAACGCCGCTCGCAAGGCCGAGTGCTTGGCCGAGGTCAAGGCCATGCGCGGCCGCTGAGCGTGCTTGTCCGGGTGCCCCTGTGTCTGTGACTTCCAAGCATGCGCTTCGGAGGGTCACCATTGGCGCCCTTGAATGTCTACTTGTCTGCCTTCCTGTATATGCGACCGTGCAACACCGCATGCAGGAATGGAGGCCTAGGATGAGGAGGAATTTTACTGACGATGAGCTCAATCAGCAGGGGTTGAGTCCAACAGACGGTCTAAATGCGTATGGAGGACATGGCGTGCATGGCTGGGGGAGTCCAGCAGCACTCTGGCTCCCAACTGTCTCATCCAGCCGGCCCCCTGATGCTTGGTCAGGCCACCCGCTGTGCCAGCCTGCCGGCCCAGGCGGGCACCCTGCCCGGGGGCGGCTGGCCCATGGCCCCCAGCATGACGGCGTAGAGGAGGTGCAGCAGGGCGACGTAGACCGCGGCGTTGACGGCCAGCAGGCCCAGGATGGCGGCGGCCACAGCGGCGTCAGAGGGCGCGCCGTGTGCGCGCAGGAGCACGGCGGCCTGGCCGAGCAGCGCCCGAACGTTGGCCAGGAGCAGCGCCACCAGGTCCTCGCCCGTGGCCCAGGAGGACAGCGCCACGTAGGCCGCGTACCCGGTGCAGCGCGCCGCGGCGGCCAGCGGGATGCTCAGCGCCCAGGGCAGGCGCGCGGCCCAGGCCACGCCCAGGGCCACGGCCATGGCGCCGTGCATGCACAGGAAGGTGGCGGCACGCAGCGGGCCCGTCAGCACTGAGAGGGAAGGGGTGCGTGGTGGGGGGGGATGGGTTGGTGAGGTGAGGAAAGGTGGAGACGATTGTAGTGGGTGGTCCGCGGCGTGCAGCGTGACAAGAGCGACAGGCAGCACGATGCCCCATCCCGGGCATGCTGGGTGGTGCTCTCGCTCCAGGACACCGACTGGCAGGGCCCCACCGAACCCCGCACGCGCGCACCCAGCAGCAGCAGGACGCTGACCAGGACGGCCCTCAGCGCGGCGGTGTGGCCGTGGCGCAGTGCCACCAGAATGGTGGGCAGGGGCAGGAAGTAGGAGGCATAGGAGTCCAGGCGAGCCACGCTGGCCAGGGTGTAGATGACGGCGGTGATGGCCGCCATCATCGCCGTCGCCACGATCCTCTGGAGGAAAGTGGGCGAGCAAGGGGATCCATGGAAGGTGTGACGACATGGTGTAGGAGCCCACCCTGGCTCCCCCTGCCCAGCACATGGGATACCTCTGTATCGGCGAGAGGGTGGGTGGCTGTGGAGCCCGCGGACTGGGCAGCCTTGACCGCCTCGATCGCGCTCCGCAACCCGGTCTCGTCGTCATCTGCTGCCGCTCGGGCACCCAGTCCCGGTTCTGCTCGGCGGAGGGGTGCCCACCTCCCCCTGGTGGGAAGGCGGGTGCTGATGCCTATATCATGAGGTTTTGAGTGGTATGAATTTTCTCTCGTCGGGTGCCTTGACCGGCTGACTGTCGCACCGCATGCACTGTGAAGCCCTGCGAGAGCACAGCGCATGGGTGAGGCTCCGGCCTCCCCAGCCCCTATTGCCTCTCAGGCATGGCATTCACAAGCCAATGAAGATCAATTGCATGCTGTATGGATGGATGGGACGCAGCGATCTTACACTGCCACACCCCCTCGCTCCACTGCTGGATCGGTACCGGGAGTTTGGTACCACGACCTGCCGCCCCTGCTGTGGATCTTGAGCGCGAGGAGACCTCAGCGGGGTATGCTGCAGTGAGTGGCCAATGCGCATTGGACGGCTGAACTGGCCCTTAGAACAAGAGAGGAAGGGAGCATAAAGTCTTGGACTTCGCAAGGGCTCGAAGCGTAGGCCAGGAAGCCACACCATGGCGGACGGATTCGATGTGAGATACAGGGTGCGGGTGCCTGTCGATGGTAATTGCTAACATGTGGCTCTTGGGCCATAAATATCCCTAGTTCGCCTCTGAGGTGGTCTCTTGCAAGCGCAGGCTCTGTCGCGCACGGCACCCGTGCCCAAGATGGTGCAAGACTTTGTCGTCTACTTCTACCGTCACATCAGGTCTGTAGCCAACGCCTGGTGCCAGATGTGATCCATATACACACCAGCGAATCCCTTGAACAGCGTTGCATGATATGTGATCCGAGCTGCTCCATTTGGACTACCTTGCATGACACCTACGTCCACCACTGTAGTAGTCAGATCAGCCAGACCCCTCACCCGACCTCCCTCAACAGGGAGCGCAACATCCGCGAGATCTTCGTCATGTACTCCCACACCTTCCCCCACCTGTCGGAGCGCTTTTTCAAGGGCGTGGCCTGGCCCCCGGTGGAGGCTGTGAGCCACCTCGTGGACAATGACCACGTCTTCTGCATGCTGTACAAGGTGGGGCCGCAAGGCCGGGGACTGTGGGAAGGGTCACAATGGCCTGGGCTCACCCTTCGATTGCCAGTTGACATAGTGCGCCCCTCGATGCGGATTCACTCTCATGCTATTCGGCGCCCCCTCAAACGGACACCCCTCACGCATCGCACCCTGGCCCAGGAAATGTGCTTCCGCCACCTGCACGCCGCGGCCAAGCCCACGCTGGCGCACCGCATCGCCTCCTGGGAGAACTACCGCGAGTTCTTCTCGGTCATCCTGTCCAGCCACCTCAACGTCCAGCTTCCCAACCAGTGGCTCTGGGACATGGTGGACGAGTTCGTGTATCAGTACCAGGCTTTTGCGCAGTACCGCGGCAACCTGTCTGGCAAGTCCATTGAGGAGCTCGATGTGCTGGCCGCCAGCCCCAAGGTCTGGGACTCCCAGGTGAGCTGAATACTGGTGGTTGAAGGGATATTGTGGCTGGGCACAGAAGAATAGGTGTGGGAGGGGGAAAGGGTTTTATTGACAAAGGGGCGGATGCGCAGCACGTATTTGGAGGGACCAAGTGCTGCCAGGGGATCTGAACAGTCAGCCTGTGCCTGTACTACCCCTTTGACCTCTACAGACGGTGCTTCAGATCCTCAACGACCTGGTCTCCCAGTCCGACATCCGCGGGATCCTGTCAAAGCCCGGTGGGTTGGGTGTAGGGAAGGGCTCCTGTGCAATTGAGTCGGGGTGTCATGAGCCATTCTGTAGGAGACCGAGGAGCCTGCATGTATGCACTGGAGCCCCTTGTGTTTCCCACTAGAGTCTCTCTCAACCACCGCATGTTCCAGGTGGCGCTGAGGCGCTGTACGTGGGCGAGGGGTACGACCTGCAGTCCAACGTGCAGACCATGCTGGGTTATTTCAGTCTGGTCGGCCTGCTGAGGGTGCACAGCGTGCTTGGCGACTATGTAGCCGGCCTGCAGGTAGGTGGCAGGGTGAACACTGCGGTTTGGGCCCTGTATCATACAAGGCGCTCATGCCATGGCAGCCCTCCTAGTATTGCCTTGTTTGGTAGCAGAGAACCTCCATCAATGCCGCCCAACCCCTCGGCAGGCACTGGCGCCCCTCAACCCCTTCAACCGCCGGCACCTGTTCACGACAAAGATTGCCATGTCCAACATCACCCTTTTCTACTACTCTGGTGAGGCCCCTTGAAGTAGTGGTGCCTTCATAGTCAGAAGGGTGCCTGGCATCAGGGCAGCAGTGCCATTTTGTTGCTGCCGTATGCATGACTGCACTGGTTACAAATTTGTGTTGTAGCATCAACACTTGCAGATTGACAAGTCCAAAGCCATCAATCAAAGCACACTTCGCCCCCCCCTTCCCCCTCCCGACACTTCACAGCCTTTGCGTATTTGATGCTGCAAAGGTATCTGGACGCCGCCAAGTGCCTCAACTTCATCTTGGGCTACATTTCCAAGTATGTGACAGGCTTGGCGGTTGCTTGTGGAAGTCCACTGCCCCTGGCTCGTTCCTCATGCCCTTGCCTGCGGCCGTCGTTGCCGCATGGCTTGGGAAATGTATTGAGAGTTAGCGAAAGGGTCCTCACCGCTCACATTGGTCTCCCATGTCCCCATCCCTTCCTTTCCTCAGGGTAAAGGCGCACCATCAGAGAGGCCCAGGGTACGACCAGATCCTGAAGAAGAACGAGCAGCTGTATGCCTTGCTGGCCATCTCCTGTGAGTCATGGCTGGTGCAGACTGGGGGATCAGCGCTTGTCTCATTGAAGGGCCCTGTGCGGGCATTGCACCCTCTAAAGTGGTGGGCTGGGTTTGTAGCCACGAAGAACGCCCGCTGAACGTGTGGTTTCCAGCTTCTGACAATGGCACCTGCCATCTCATTGAATAGTCCCATCGCCATCCTTACTTACAGCGGCGCTCTGCCCCGCCGTGTCACGGCTGGTGGACGAGAACGTCCAAGTCCTCCTGCGCGAGAAGTAAGTAATTTATGAGTCACTGATGGAATGTTCACGTGAACACCCTGGGGATCCTGGCCTTGGAGCGATGAACATCATCCCCCGCCTGCCAGTGGATTTGGGTGGGGCATGGCAACTGTACATGTTCACGTCCTGTGCATGTCACATGTGCCCTGCCGCAGTGCCCATCCTCGCGTTCCCGCACCAGGTACGGAGAGAAGGTCAGGCTGATGAACAGTGGTCAGCCAGACGCTTACGAGGAGCTCTTTGCCTACGCCTGCCCCAAGTTTGTTTCCCGGCGCTTCGTCGACCCAGCCAATCCTCAGGTAAGATGGTGTGAGAGGTTGTGGGTACATTCAGTGGGCTGTGAGGGGTGCCACCTGTAATCACTTTCGCATGTACAAGTGCCTTGCTTGTCCTCTTGCAACTGGAGTTTCTTCTCATGGCAGTGCTGGCCTTTTGCTTTGGAAGTTGGTGACCTGTGCTAACACAAGAATGTCAGCAGCTCAATAGCCCTTCGACCTGACCCCCTCCTCTTCCCTCCATGCGCCCTCTTCTTCCTGCTTCCCACAGGGCAATGCCAACATGGAGGCGTACAAGCCGCAGCTCAACCAGTTCCTGTCAGTGGTGGAGGCCCAGCGCCATCTGCCCGCGCTCAAGCAGTTTCTGCGGCTGTACACCGTGCGTCAGGCTGGGTTTGGGGGGAAGGGATGAAGCAAGGAGAAGCTTGCGACATGGGCGAGTGGCACCCAGGAAGGGAGCATTGATGTGTGCAAGGAAAGATTTGCTTGCATCTATCCTTGCCAATTTGGGAGGGGAAAAGGAGGCCCTTGGGCCCGGCCCATCCTGGAGCTGCAGCCATGGATGCACTGGAGGACTGCGACGAGGCCTGGCTGCGTTCTCATCTTCCCTCTGCCAATCTCACCCACCCCCACCCAAACTGCACCTAAAAGCACCTCCCTCTCACACACACAGAGCATCACGCTGTCCAAGCTGGCGAGCCTGGCTGAACTGGACGAGGCCAGCCTGCGCGCGCAGCTGGCGCTGATGCATGCCAGCACCCAGGTGGTGACATGGAACGGCGGCGACGCGCTGGCGGGGACACCCCAGCCCGCGGGCGACCTGGACTTTGCGCTGGAGCGGGGGGAGGACGGGCAGGAGATGGTGGTGGTGCAGGAGTCGCGGGCGGCGGGGGCTTCGGGCTCCGCCTTCCTTGTCTCCCACATCCAGAAGCTGCAGGATATCGTGACGGAGCTGGAGGGCATCGTGCTGGCGCCAGCGCCCGGCGCTTCGGCTCCCGCCGTGGCCGCCAACTGAGCCGGCGTTGGTGTGTGACTGGGGTGTGCGCCGAGCGCGACCGTTCCGGCTATGCATGCGACCTGGGGGAATCCCTGCAGGGGCACGCGACATTGGGAGACCCCTGGTTGTCATGGCCTGAATAGGTGCAAGCCAGGCTGGAGCCCGTTACTGCTTAAAGAAAGGGATCCAGCAGTTCCTGCTCGCTCCTTTCTGATGTACAGTGTGCATCGATGTGGGACCATTCACAGCAGGCAGAGGGAGTAGAGGGCACCTGCTGATGGCCAGCCAGGCACAACCCCCCCAAGCCCCTTTTTGTTGAGGACCCTATGTTCATGGGTCGGTGCGTAGGGCGGGGCTGCGTGCGCACTGCTTTGGCGGCGTGGTGGGTGCCAGCGTGAGGATGCTGAGGGCAAAGTCCAGCAACCGGCCCCGGTCCGTCGCTGCGGTGGACAGGTTGAGGCAGCAGATGCGCCGCCCGTTGTCGTCGAGGCAGGCTGCTTGGGCGTGACAGGGGTAGGTGGGTATGGGGGTCTTGATGGCGACTGGCCAGGAAAGGGTGCGGGCCATGCCTGCACTGGCATGTGCAGTTAACAAGCAAGATGCGGGCGAGCAGGCGGGGCATGTTGCTGCAGCGTCTAGGAGGCCGGGTGAGGGTTGCGCGCCTCGCTGCACGTTCTTCGGCAGGGTACCTGGGGTAGTCACTTCCCATCCCATTTCCCCTTGGACTCCCTCCCCCCTTCACTCACCCAGCTTGGCCTTCAGGCCGGTCCAGATGCCGATCTCCTCGCTGGTCCACGTGTGGCACGCCAGGATCTGCTCCATGAGAAAGTACAGCGCCATGGTGTCCTGGGCCACCTGGGCCGCCGCCGGTCTGGGCGGGCACTGGGTGACCAGGGGTGGCAGGCTGGTCCATGCCGAGGCCAGCGCCTCGCCGGACGAGGGCGGGGGGCATGGGTCCGAAGGAAACTGGCTGGCAGCGCAGGGCAGCGCCCCCCGGGGTTTGAACAGGGTGGGCAGGGGGTGCCGAGCGGCGGCGACCCCTCCCCAACCCTGCTGCGGCTCCAGCAGGGCCAGCGCGGCGCGATGGGGGTGCTCGTTTCTTGGCTCGCCACCGGCGGACTCCTTGACCGGGGGTTTGGCTTCGTCGATCTTCAAACCCGCCAGAGTCCCTCCGGACCCCGGCTCCGGCTTCGCGACCCCTTCCTGGCCCAGGATCGGCCCCAGCGCCCCGCCCCCCAGCAGCGCCGGGGTGCCGTGGATGCCCACGTCCTCGGCCACCGCCGCCAGCACCTCGAACCTTTCAAAGCCGGCGTCCTCGTCGCTGCCCTGGCGGGAGGCGGAGCGCCCATGTGCTATGCAGCCCGAGGCATAGCAGCCCGCGTCGGCCTCCTGCACATGTGTGGGGACCGAGGGGAGGCCTGTGGTACGACCTGAGGCACAGTGCAGGGGCACATCACCTTCCATCAGCAAGCCAGGACCCTGGCTCCACTCTCCGGCCGGGGCCAGCTCCCCAACCACACCGATTGCGTGCGTGGCACTGGAACCCGCTGCCAGTGGATGACGTCACGGCGGCGATGCACCAGGATCTGGTCGCCCACGGCCAGGCTGGAATCCAGCAGCCACCGCTTGTAGGCAGGACCCTGTGTTGGTATGTGGGGATGGGGAGCTTCGGTTGGACTTGGCGACACGCCTCTGTAGACCCAAGGATGGGCGTGAGCAATGCAGACACCCAAGCTGACACACTGGCGTGCCTGGTCCTACTGCCTCTCCTCATGTGGCACAGGGTCTGCCCTGGACCCCATGTATCAACCCTCCTCGCTGGGCCTCCAAGCAAGAGGCTCCCTTCTTCCTATGCACCTCCTTCCTGGTCAATCCTCACAAACTCACGGTTATGTAGTGGACCTTGGCGTTCTCACAAAAGACGACATCCAGGGCCAGGTCCTGACCCATGTGAGGGTCAAAGACTTGAAGTGTGCAGTTGGGCGTGGGAGCCTGGCCACTCAGCGATTCGTACAGCCACTCTGTCGGGATTATGGGGAGGTGGGACTTGCGTGACAAGCAAGAGCAGGGCCGGGAGCCCTCCCTTGAGCTGCAGACTCCACATACCAGTGGGCTCTGGGCATGAGAGACACCTCAGCATCTGCACCCCTCACCAGGGATGGGGCAGTGGAAGTGGGACAGGTTGGTGCGGTACACGGTCTTCAGTGCCTGCCCAGGCCCCACTTCCCTCCAGCGGTCCTGGTGCACAGGTGCCTGCCGCGCAGTGTGTCGGAGGGCCTGGAGGGAGCAGGATGGCACCAGACTGAGCAGACGGGGCGTTCCACCCAAGTGATGCGGTGGGGGCGTTCTGGGGAGCGTACTTGATGACTGAGGGGCAGCATTGATAATTATCAGGGCATCAGACACCCCTGCCCGCAGTACTCTCCAGGAAAGCACGAAATCTCATCATACACCAACTCACAAATGCGCTGCGGCCCTCTTCCACGTCAGCATCCTCCTCAACCTGTGAGGGAATGTCGAGTATGTTGGTCTCAACAGACTATCGAGGCTGCATGATACAATATCACTCTTGAGCGAGCCCGTGGAATCAAAGGCAAAGTGTCCATGTTCATAGCAGTAAGCCCCCTCACCATTGTCTGTGCTCGTAAGCCAGTCCTCGCTGGGTGGCCTTTGGGAGGGCCGCTGACAGGGGAGCAGATGAAGCTCACGATAGCTGTAAGGGGGTCCTTCCTGAAGGTCAGGACATCGCCTTCCCCAATACCATACTTGTCCCACAGCATCAGGAAGTCTCCCTGCAGGGGAGGAGAATGGGTGCAATCTACTGGATATTGGCAATGCAAAGAGAGCATCAAGTTCACCCCCTTTGAAACGTCTGCTTGCTTGACAGGGAGTTGTGTGACTTAGGGTTGAAGTACACGTGCTCCCCTTTAATCCTCCACCAATCACCCCCCACCCTGTACCTGCAGCGTGTACTGCACCCTGTTGTCATTTCGGAGCTCCATGGAGATCAGGCAGTCAAAAATTTCCCCCTCGGAATCCAGGATGGTGGCGCTCCCCTGGCAGCCAAACAGCTCTCGATGCACCTTGTCTGCGCACGGGTGTGTGGAATAGCGCATGGCATGGGAGGCGGGAAGGGAGTGAGCTGTAGGAGCTTGAAGCGCTGCCTCGATGGCAGCAAAGCCAGGCTTCAGCCCATGAAAGCTGGGAGGCTGAGTCACAGCCTGGCGCACACTCTGCGTCGCCTCCTACCCTGCCCAACGTCAGGGCTCACTTGCAAAGTGTACCATGCGATGCTCACACCACCATTGTGGCACCGCCTTGATCCAGGTGTCCCGATCCTTCTTCTGCCAGTCTGTGCGGGGCCGCAGCGGCTCAGCACATGCCCGCGACTTCTTCGCCGGTTGTAGCCCGGGGGGGGCTCCCAGCGACCTGGGTCTCTGATCCCGCGCTGTGGAATGGATGTGGAGCACGCATGTTTGCAGAGTTTCCTGCTGGGCTCCACGTTGTGGCCTGAATCTTTAATGAGCTAGCAGCCTTTGATGCCTCCAATGGATGTGCATAACAATGTCCTATCACCTGGCCTCTTCCGTGGCAGTGAAATGGAGCTTTCCAGCGAGTGCGCGTCTTCCATACCGCTGTGGGGCCGGACGAGATTGTCTGATCTGTCCATCGTGGACGAATTCGTCACCCGTCGCTGCATGCAAGCATCACGCGCTTGGGACTGCAGTCCCTCCGGATGCGTCGCGATCCCTTGCTTCTCTTCATGAATCGCTCCAATGGCCTGGGGATGGCCTGGATACTGCGAGGGACCAATTGAGGGGGCGAGTCTCAGCAACCAAGTCGGAGTGCCGTTTCGGAGCCGGAGCCAGTGTAACCTCCCCCGGCGTCCTTGTGGATGATGTACACACCAGTTCAACACCCACCCACCTCCATTTCGATATAATTAGTGCTTTGGGTGTCGCAGCCGATCCGGTCTTGCAAGCTCGGGCAAGTCTGCAGGGGTCTGCGTGCAGAAGTGCAGGTTTTGTCTCGTGCAGTTCGTGCGGCAATCTAGGGCCGCTGTTCTACACGAACGCCACAATAATGCCGGTATAATGAGGTATTATACGCGGTACATGCCCTTCTTCTTACGTAGCTGCTCTCGCTCTGCATGCTAAACTGCGCCCGACTTGCAAAAAGTTGACCATGACGGTTCCGGTTGGTGGGGTCCCAGGTGCGGTGATGCCCCGACATCCCGCCTCTGACCCCCGCCACGAAGTCTCCATGCAGAAGCACAGCGCCCTTGACGAGGTAATGGCAAGCAAGCCAGTTCCGAAACACGGACTTTCACCTCTGATTGCAAAGCACAGGGGTGGAATCCTCTTGGAAGACAGCCAGGCATCCCAGAGTCATTTTGCTGTCGACCATGTCTGCCTGCCGGCACATCCACCCCTCCTCTCCACTGTCAGAGTGACGCACTACATCAAGGGGTCAGGGCATCGTGGCATCGCCACTTGCGTGCGCCAGCCAGTCACGACGTCGTCATATTGGAAAAGAGGGCCGAGGGGTCGACAGAGTGAACGTGGGGGGAGGGGGTGCTTCATGTGGTTGCTGGCCCACCTTGCTCAGCGTCGGGCGCGTTTTCCTCCCCGCCGACTCGTGAGCTCCTGGGTGGCCTCCGAGTCGTCGCTCATCCCCCCCTCGCTCACCTGGAGGGTGGGGGGTGGTACAGGATGGGTTTGTGGTGGAAGGCCGGTGGCAGGGGGGGGATACCGGGTTCCAAAGTCTGGAGCCACTGGATTCAATTCCGTCGCGAGGTAGGCGAACAAGGCATCCAGGGCACAAAACCGAGCATGACCGTCTCTTGGGCCCCTTCCCTCAACCCCTCCCTGCAGCCGTCCCACGAAAACGCCCGATTGGCCCCCACAACCCTAAACCCCCACAGCACACCGGCCACCAACCACCAGCCACTCACAGTGGCCTCCGAGTCCGCGGTGCCCCCCTCCAACCCCGCGCTGCCTTCGTCGGCCAGGCCACCGCTGCCCGCCGCCCTGCGTCGGATGCGCGTCTTCAGCTCCCGGTCGTCGTGGTTGCTGCAGATCCAGGGCCCGCCCAGCGCGCCGTGGCAGCCGGAGCACTCGCGGTGCGCAGAGACGTTGCAGCCGGAGGGGTGCTCGCAGCACAGCAGGTCCCCCGCCAACAGGCAGACGGAGCACTGGTAGCCCCACTTGCACTCCGCCACCAGCTCCGGCGGCGCCAGCGCGTCCATGGCCGCCGCCGCGCGGCCCGAGGGGAAAGCCTCGCGCCCCATGGCCTTCAGCACTACGCGCACACCGTCGTCGGTCTTGGCCTTGCCCGTGCGGATCATCATGGGGCGCAGGGAGGGCGCCGGCGCCTCGCCCTCGCCCGCGCGGCGTCGCCCCGCCGCGCCCGCCGCCGCCGCCGCGCGCTCCGATCGGGCGCGCTCGCGCTCCTCCGCCTCCCAGCGCCGCCGCTCCTCGGCCAGCGTGATGTAGCGCTGCAGCATGGGCCCCGCACGGTCGCTGAGCAGGAGGGCGGAGTAGGACACCTGGGCGGCCGTCGCGCAGGCGCGCGTGGCCTGGACCCAGGCCGCGCGCTCGCGCGCGGAGCGCCACAGCCGCGCTGGGCGGCGCATGCGCTTCTCGCGCAGGAAGGCGTGCTCCGCGTCGGAGTCGTCCAGGTCGTCGTCGCGCGTGACGGGGCGGAAGGGCGCCGGCGTGCCCGCCGTCTCGCCCTCCTCCCCCTCCTCCCCCTCGCACGTCGTGCCCGTCGCCTCGCCCGCGGCCCCCGTGCCGGACGCCTGCGGCGTCGGCTGCGCGGGCGTGGGCGGCGTCGTGGCCGGGCTGGGGGTCGTGGACGGGCCGGGCGCCGCGACCGGAGCGGCCGCCTCCACTCCTGCGCCGGGGAGAGCCGCGGCTGCATGCCCAGCCGAATCGGGCGCCGCGGCATCGGTCCCCTTGGCAACCTGGGCCTCTGCCGGCACCGGCTCAGCTCCGGCAGACCCGGGCCCCTCCATGCCCTGCATGGGCTCCACGCCCACGCCGGGCTCGGCGCGTGTAGGCCCTGTGCTTGCCGTCGCCCCAGGTTTTGCCTCCGGCTCGTCTGCCGCCGCCTCGCCCATCAAGATCTGGATCTCCCGGTCTGTGGCGCCTGTGTGGCGGAGGTTGTGGATAGTGGTTCGGTTTCACAGGAGAATCTCCGCCTTCTGCTATCACACTGGGCGGCCCCGCAGAGCACCCTTCGTGTTGGTAGCTGATTTCGTCCTGGGCAACCCAGCCTAGGGCACATTGCCTCGCAGCGACACCCTGACTGATCCTTACGCCTGCCCTTCGTACACAACTGAACCTTCAATCTTCCCCCCCCTCCCCCTATCCCAGCCACCCCACAAATGCACATGCCGCACCTGGCGGAAGGCCCTCGCCCGCGGTGCAGTAGACCTTTTCCAGCTCCAGCATGGCATGGCGCAGGTCCTCGGGGGTGTCGCAGGCACGCAGCGTCTTCCGCATGGCCTTGGCGTCAAACTCCAGCTCCACCCCCACCTCCACCGCCTCGGCCAAAAAGTTGTCCAGCCGCTCCTTGGCCTCGGCCAGGGCATTGCGGACTGGAGGATGGGTGCGGTTGTGGGATGGGATGCGATTCGAGGGAGAAAGGCAGGCGGGTGCCAAAAGGTTGCATGCAAGTCCAAGCCTTCACAAAGTTGAGCCGATTCCTGGCCTGGCAGACGGGCGCTTGCCGACGTCACCTTCAGGCCCGCCTCTCTCCCTTCCCTCTTCATCAAGATGAATCCCCCCCTCCCCAGAGAACCCAGTCCCGCTTCCCTGCCCATTTCTGCTCACCCACACCCTCCTCCAGTTCGGGCAGCGTCCTGACTGCCATGCGCTTGTCGCGCGGGACGGGCCGCGCGTACCCCTCCAGGCTGTAGGCCGTGCCCTCCGCCTGCGCCATGCAGGCCACGATGGCGGCGTAGCGCTTGCGCAGCGCGCCGTGCAGCACGCGCTCGCGCGGCCCGCGCCGGTTCAGCCGCGCCAGCAGCTCGTCCAACTGCTCCTTGCTCCTCAGCGCCGCGGGCGGGGCCGCGTCGGGGAAGTCCACCATGACAATGCCCGGCGCGGCTGCAGAGGTGGGCGAGGGGATGCATGGTTGGAGTGGCCTCAGATGGTGCTAGCCAGCAGGAAACTTTACTCGAGCGTCTCAGGGCAAAACGCACATCTCGGGCATGTCTGCGCCTGGTCACACATCGGTCACGCATCGAGCACTCCAGGGCCACCCTCTCTCCCCCAGGTCATACATGCGAGCCACCAGTAGCGCCGGTGGAATCGGTCAGTGCCCAGGGGGTCCGCTCTGCTGGATCGCTCCGCCAGCCTGCCCTCGTACTCGGCCTCCCGTGCAGCCCAGGCCTGCTGCGCCTCATCCAGCTCCTCAGTCCCGGCTGCGGCGAGTGGAAAGCAGGAATTTTCGCACGGCCCCATGTCGTCGCGAGGCCGGCAGAGGGAGCAGGCCGGCTGTGATGCAGGTGTGCGACGATCGCCCGCTGCCGGGAAAGGGAGTCACCGCATGTTCATCATTCACTCGCATCTCCCACACCTCCTCACCGTCGTCGTCGCCGTCCTCGCCGGCCTCGGCCGCCGCCTGGTCCTCCAGGGCCTGCAGCTCCTCCTCGGTCGGGTCGGCAGCCGTGGTCGACTTCCTGGCCGCCTTCTTCTTCTTCCCAGACGTGGGCGCGGCCACCGCCGTCTCCCCCTCGCCCCGCCGCGCTTTCCTCCATGCCATCTGGTAGACAGGGGGCAGAGGAGCGTGAGGCCGGGGCACGCCCTGCGATTTCCCATTCCATTCGCCGCCCCCGCGCCAGCTGTGTCACTTGGGAGAGGCGCGCGCTCGCCACCGGCACCAATCACCACCCTTCCCACCCCTCACCTGCTCTTTGAAGAGCTCGGTCTGGATGCGGATGGCATCCTGCAGCCGCACGTTGATGTCGTTGCGTAGCGCGTAGCCCTGGGAGATGTCGTAGCACAGCGTGCACAGCAGGCGCAGGTGCAGCTCGGCTGCGGGGTGGGTTTGTTGGGCGTTTGCATGAATACAGGGAGGTCAAGTCACATGCCCGTGTGGCACATGAGGGATGCATGGTCGGGCGCACAACACTTGCTCAAGGCTCTCGCTGAGTACACTCCCCCTCCCCCTCCCCATCTTCCCCAGCGACGGACGTTCAAGCTGGTGCCAGGCCGTGGTTTCCAGCTTGCGCGCTGCCAGCAGGGCCACCTGGTCGTTGTCCAGGGACAGGGGGCAGGCGTCCTCGGCGGGGGGCCCCTGGTCGGCCCGCGTGGTCAGCAGGTACCTCCGCAGGATCTCGGGCCAGGTGGAGGCGGTGAGCACCCTGCTCCACCGGTGGCTGCGCGCCTTGGCGGGCGGGTCGTGGTTGTACTGCTCGATCAAGCAGCACTGTAAGGGAAAGGCGGGAGGGGGAGGGGTGTAAGGACCACACGCCGGGTGTTCATGAGGTGGCGGAGGGAAGGAAGGGCCCACGGCACTGGGCCTTGCATGGCATGGCACGCAGCCCCCAGGGCTCTGCCTGACGAGCGCCTGCCGAACGCTGCAGACCCATTGCGCCTACGACGCTGGATGCCTTCACTGGACGCCATCCTCTGGCACACCATGATCTCAACCACAAATCCGGGACCCGCCACGCCCCTCACCAGGACCAGCTGGTTGTACAGGCCGCCCAGGCCCTCGCCGTCCAAGGGCCACCGCACGCTGCTCATCACCGCTGGCAGGTCCAGGGTGGGAGCCTCGCAGGCGCCGCCAAAGAGCTGCAGGAACTCGGCCACGTCCAGCGCGCTGGCCAGGGAGGCCTGCGTCGGGGCGGGCGGGGCAGGGTGAGCGCGGAGCGTCGACGACAGTCCCCCAGGGCGGTCGTCGCCCTCGGCCACGTCATCACGGCACGTCATGGGCCTGGGATACCTCCACACACCCGTCCTCCTGTCCCGAGCCTCTGCATTGCACACCCCGACACCATCGCCAGCGTCTCCCCACCCCCAAACACCCTGCCGCTTTGAAACGACCACCCCCCCCCTCCACACCTGCTCCTTGCCGTCCTCCAGCAGGCGTGGCGGCGTGCTGGGGCCGTCGATGATCAGCTGCAGCCGCTCGATCGCCTCCTGGGTCTCAGCCGCGCGCCTCTCCGCCTCGCTGCCCTCCGCGGGGCCATCCTCGGCCGGTGCGTCCTGGGGAGCGGCCCCGGGCTCGCCTTCTTCCCCCAGCTCCGCCTCGCCCTGGGGCTCCTCCTTCGGCAGAGCGTGCGCCCCAGCCTCCCGCCCAGGCTCGGGCTCGACGTCGTCCCGCGCGGCTGCCGCGCCGTCCTCGCCCGCTTCCGCCGTCACGGCGAGCCTCAGCTCCGCGGCCCGGGCCTGGAGCAGGGAGAGGTGCTCCCGCTCCTCCTCCACCACGTCCCAGTCGTCCAGGGGGGCGCGCGCCTTGGCCCCGCCCCCGGCCCCGCCCGCGGCCGCGGCGCCCTTGGCCCCCGCCGCGCCGCCGGCCAGCGCGGCCCCCGACCCCGGCCCCACGCCGTCGCCGCGTCGCCGGTCCTTCTCCTCCCGCGCCAGCAGGCGCTTGAGCAGGCGCTCCTCGGCCTCCTCTCCCGCGCCGCGGCGCGGTCCAGCGCCTCGCGCCGCCGCGCCTCCAAGTCCACGACGCGGCGCAGTGCGGCCTGCGTGGCCTCCACGCACTTGGGGCAGGCCCAGTCGCCCGTGGGGAGCTCGGCCCAGGCCGCGCCCAGGCAGGCCGCGTGGTAGGCGCGGGGCAGGTGTCGCAGAGGAGCAGCGGGCTGCCCTCGGGGTGCGTCACGCGGTGGCACTTGGGGCACTTGAAGCTGTTGCGCGCCGCGCGCGGCTTGGAGCGCTCCTCCTGCAGTCGGCGCACCGCCTCGGCCAGCTGCGTCTCCACCAGCGCCAGCGCCTTGTCCTGCGTGGGCGGGGCCGGGGCGGCCAGCGCGGGGCCCGCGGCCGCCGACGGCGCCGCGCCCCCGCCGCCACCGCCCGCCCCCGCCGCCGCCAGCTCGGCCACGCCCTCCAGCGGGACCAGGGCGCGCAGGGCGAAGCGGCCGGGCCCCACGCGCACGAAGGCGGGGTCGTGGCCGCAGGTGCTGGCCACGCTGTTGCGCGCCGCGCGCGTGTCGTCCCAGGCGCGCAGGCCCGCGTCCACGATGCGCCCCGCCGCGTCCACGATGGTCAGCCCCGCCGGCCCGGCGTCGCGCAGCACGCAGAACACCGCGTGCTTGATGGAGCCGGGCTGGATGCGGCGCTCCACGTCGCCCAGCGACTCCACCAACAGCTCCGCGCCCTGCAGCGCGCCCACGCCGTCCACCACGTCAGGCGGCGCGTCGCCCGCGCCCGGCGCCAGCGCTGGAGCCGCCGGGTTGACGCCGCCCGCTGTGGCGGGGGCGGCGGCGCGCGCATCCGTGGCACCCTCCATCGAGGCCGCGTCCAGCGCGCCGCCCGGCACCGCAGCGCCCAGGCCGCCGCCGCCGGCGCGCGCGGGTTTGCCCACTGCGGGAGGCCGGGGGCCGCGCTTGGCGGGCAGCTTCCCGCCGGCAGGGCCCTTGCCTCCCGGCGCCGGCGCCGCCCCAGGACCAGCGCCAGGGCGGTACTCGTCGTCGTCGGACTCGCTGTTGTCGCCGTTGGGGTCTCGCAGTCCGGCCCCGGCCTCGTCCACGTACTGCGCGACGCCGCCCTCGGCCGCGGCGATGGCGCGCGCCAGGTCGGCGTCGGCGTCCACGCCCTCCCAGCCGCGCGCCTTGCCGCGCGCGGGGCGCAGGCGGGCGGCCAGCGGCGCAGGCAGCTCCGCCGCCAGCCCATGCTTGGCGGCCCAGTGCGGCCGCACCACCCACAGGCAGGCCAGGCCGGGGACGGAGGCCACGGGCTCGGGCTCGGCCAGCGCCGCCACCCAGCGCCGCAGCAGGGCCGGGGTCAGGCGGTCCAGGAAGGACGGCTCGGGGCGGCGCAGGCTGGAGGAGGGGACGGGCACGGCGCCGCCGGCGGGCAGGCCGGCGGGGCCCATGGGCAGGACCTCGTACTCGGCGGGCAGCCCGTCCGCGCCCAGGCGGGGGCCGGCACGCTGCACCAGGCACGGCACGAGACCCGCGCCCGCGATCGCGGCGGCCACGGGCTCGCCCTGCAATGGGGTGGTCGGGGGGGGAGGGTGACGTCGCGATGCAGACTCGGCAGTGCAGCCAGGTGCCAGGCGGGGAGAATGGCCGCCGTCAGTCCAGCCCTGTTCGTCTGCATGCAAGACCCAGCCACACACCGGCACCAGGTGCGACTGCATGTGGCTGATGATGGTGGCACACAGCACGTCCAGGGGCTCCGTGGAGTGGTGCACCAGTCGCAGGGCTGGCTCCTCACACACCGCCGGGAACTGGGGAGGGGGCAACAGGGGGGGCTGATCATAACCAGATAGAGCGCAAACGGAACTGCATTAAGCAGCGGCAGGCAGTGAGCTCCCTGGCAGCCCCACGCTCGTGCCCACAAACACTCCAATACACACCTGGTCGATGAGGGACTGCACGCCATACTCGCTGGTCACCGCCTCCTCATACGTCAGCCCCGAGACTCGGGAGTATCTGCAGCTCCACTCACGCTGCCTGTGGGCGGTTATCTGCCGCGTGTAGTCCCTGAGGGAGGGTGGGTCCAGTGGCAAGATCACATCGCCGGCCAGGCTTCCCCGCACCGACAAATGGTACCCCAGCCCCACCCCGCATGCAGGGCTGGCATGCAGCCGGAGTGTCGTTGGGGAGCGGTGTGAGGGCATCCCGACACTCCATTCCGGCCACCCCGGCCCATCGGGGACCCGGTGTGTCCCGCAGTCGCAGCGGCAGTGCCGATCACCCCGCCCTCCCTGGCCATGATCAGGCACATCTGCAATGCCCAGAAAACTCACTCATACTCCCGGAAAATCTGCCCCGTGTAGCGGCAGACGAAAACCTCCTCGTTGGGCCGCAGGCTGGGTGGCAGCTCCAGCCGGGGCTGGCTGGGCGCCCCCTCGCTGGCTGGCATGGTTGCGGTGGACTAGCCGTTGCCCGGCATCAGATGCATCGCGGGCTTTGGCATCAGGCATCTCTGGAGCTGCGGCGCGGGCTTCGAGCCCAGGCCCTGTCAAAGCTCGGGTCCGGGTCAAATCCAAATCAAACACCGGCCTCGCGGGGGGAGGGGTCGACATCCCCGATCCGGGGCATGCCGGGTGAGAAACAGCCTGACGACACCTCGCATGCACCCTGAAACTATTTCGAGGTGTTAATCGGACAGACTCAAGATGTCTGGTGTCGTGTGCACGCAGCCATCGCACCCCTCCGCCCCCGCACCCGGCTCTGAATATTTCAGCTGGTGGTGGTGTTGCAGGCCACTCGGTACAAATGCTGGTCAGTAACCACTTTGTAATCAGTGATTCAAGTGTCAAGATGATTCAGTCTCCCACCCGTGCCCAGCGGGTCTCTCACTGTGCCCAGCGGCAGTCACGACTCCAGCCTGAGCTGCTCCGCCCCGGCCCATGGCGACCCAGGCCGGTCAATTATCATGAGCCTGAAACCCCCCTCGTAGTCCCACTCCCGTCCCTTCACCCCCATGTCTTGGGGCTGGGGCTGGGCCGGGTGTGAGGTGAGGCGCATGGCCCTGGACGCCACCTCTGCTTCAAACTCCGTGAAGATCGCCTGGCACGCATGGGGATTGGTGGGGGACTGTCTGCGCGCACGCATGGTTGTACTGCAAGGGTTCCTGCTCGCTGCATGGCACCAGAGGTGGCCATGCAGCCGCGGGGTTTGCCAGGGAACACCTGTGTGCATCATCCAGCATGCCGCGAGGCAAGGCACTGCTCCCGTGAACCCCCATCAGCGCCCACCTGCTCCCGGACGGCGCAGCAGATGAGGGCGCCGCCGCCCTCCGCCAGCCGCTCCTCCAGCACGGCCGCCACGCTGGCTGCCATCCAGCCCTCGTACAGGATGTCTGTCCCCAGGATGACCTCGAAGCGCTCGTCGGCGGGGCCCATGGGCGGTGCCACGGAGGGCGGGGGGGGTTCCGAAGACGCTGCCCTCACTGGCCCTCGCGCTGCATTCCAGTCCAGGAAGCGCACGGCCGCGCACCCCGCCTCCCAGCCCTCCGTCGCGGCCTCAGCGGCCATCAGCGCTCGTCGCTTCTGTGGAGCCCCCTTCCCCCGGACCCTCGCCCAGGGTCAGATGCATGCTGGTCACCAGGCACAGCAGCACGGCGTCCAGGTAGTCGGTCAGCACCACACGCGCGGCGCCCAGCCGCGCCGCCGCCAGGCCGCACGCGCCGCAGCCGGCGCCCAGCTCCAGCACGCTGCGCCCAGCCACCATGTCGGGGTGTGCCGCCAGCAACCTGTGCATGGGGGCGGAGGGGGCGGAGG